AAATGAAATAGATAAGTGGCCAGATATAACCAAAGCTACATCCTATTCTAATATTAGGCTGAATTTTGGCTCAAGCAGACTCAGGTGCTCCTAAGTGGCACATATTTTGTTCTCTGGTGTTTTAGGAACTTTGTGTGTTACTGGTGCTTCAGCTGAAAAATATCTAATTAATTTCAGAAAGCATTATCTGCGCTAGTGAAAATTAACAGCTTAATGAATCAAGATCAAAGGGAACTTTCCAACACTGGGGTCTATCAAGTCAGACATGCCTAGTCTTCCTCTCACTTGACCATTAAAGATTTTATGTTAAGCTGGGGACTTGAACACCAGAACCCCAATTAAATTTGGTCCTAGGTGATTATTTCAACTCTTCCTAAATTTTCGGTGAAGGAAGTTGAAGTGTCCTAAATGCCTGGGTTCTGCACGTGAATATCAGAGAAATAAAACAATGAAAGAAATTCTATCTTGTGAACATTGTCTAATACTGATCAGCCTAATGCTAATCATGTTTGAAAACCAGTAGATGGCTCACCAGGTGGTGACCGGCCAACAGGACATATGGAGAAGTGAAACAGCAGTAACAAAACAGTTAAGGTTTGTGTTTTTCTCCTGGAGTTGCTCGTCTTCTAAGGCTATGCGTGCACTTCCATCCCAGTGCTGTGACAAGGATGTTCCCTGTGGAGACAGCACCATCAAGACCACAGGACATGGCGTGAGGAAAAGCATGGAGCATCTTCTGCAGCGGTGTTGGTACCACTCCCAGTGGCTGCCCTGCAGTCTGCTCTTGGCTCCAGCCCTGTTTCTGTACTGTGCCATCCCTACAGAGCCTCAGCCTTGAGAAGAAGCATGCCAAGGCTGTGTGATTTATATTTGCTGAAGGCAATTCTCCCTTCCTTCCACCTTTAAAATGGAATTTTTTTTTTTTGTTTCATTCTCCACAAAATTAAATGTGCTCTTATGTATTTATTTAGGTCCACTCTTTTATGTGCATTTCTTATCAATTGAAAGGCCAATCTTTGTCTTGGCACAGGTGGATAGATATTTGAGATGGCTCAAAATGCTTTCAGAGGAAAGGAATGTTTCTTTTCCATTTCTGAAACCTGTAATGAGCTCTTTGTCAATCCCTGCAAGTCAGTCTGCATAACTTTTTGAAGAACTTTGGAATATTTTCACAGCAAGAGGTGGTCTGACTTTTTTCCCTCAAGGTTTGTATTTAGAATATTTTTCCTTTCTTTTTTTTGCCTCTGACCATGTCTGTAGTGATTTGTTAATACATGTTTGTACAAAACATGTTTCTGTTAAATAGATACACTTATATACACATATACATGCGCATATATATATATATATATATATATATATATATATATACAGAAGTTGAGTTGCTTCTGCCTTTTTACATGTGTACCTGAACCCTTCACAGGATCACATCTCCTCTCATAGTCTCTTCAACAGAGCTATCAGACCATTAAACCTTGTCACTCTCCACTAGCCATGCCTGGTATGTCTTAATTTGTCCTTCAACCTTCTCAAACATTATTCAGTAGAAAAATGTGTATGCAGCAAGAAATGAAAAGTTTTCATTTTGAATGCCAGAATTCAGATTTTGCTTGTTTTCTCACTCACAAGTGGAGGATGTCTCTGGAGTAATTAGAAAAAGAATAGCATTAATTCTGCTTCTCACTGAGGAGGATGCTTCATTAGGATTGATTGCTCATTTCCAAAGATTGTACATGGCTAATATAATTACCTCTGGAGAACACAAGGCACTGAGCAACACTTATATCCTTTGGACCACCAAAGTAAATGGACCCTTTAGAACAAGCTGAATACTTTTATTTATAAGGAACATATAAGTGAGAGTTTCAGTTCCAGCAGGAATACCGTCAATTAAATTATGGCTCTATGACTAAATTTGAGTCTCTGTTCTTTACCCTGAAGGTTTTGTATATGCATGTACAAGAGTCTATCTATATGCACATACAAGACTTTATATAGGACTAGATGAGACATCACTGAAGGCCACCACAAGAGGCCACACCAGAGGAGTCACAGTTCTGTTTCACTTTCATTGGAAAGTCATCACCATCAAGCCACTCACTTATGCTGATAACTTGAGCTTGATTCTACTTCACACAAAATTTGTAGCTGCAAAAAAAAAAACCTACTCCAGAAGCCCCCATCCTTTGATTCTTCTGTTATCTCTTACAAAAGAATGGCTTATGAATCAAGGACCTGAGTTTTTTCCCTATGCGATTCCTATACTTTTATTTCTTCCATGTTGGCCTCATTTCTGAACAACTTCATGTAATTGGGACAGAGTTTTATGGGAGATCATAGGAAGCTGGTTTTGTCCTTAGGTGAAGCCATGAATACTGCTACCTGGCCTTGCAGGCTGCAGGACTGCCCATTCAGTTTGTAGCAAAGGCCAAAATATTAACCATTATGTGCAGATTTTGGCAGGTAAGAAAGTAAAGAGGTTTCACATAAAATGCACAAAACTATACAGGACAAAAAAGTGTGGTCATCCAAACAGAAACATGAAGAGACTACGTAGAGATGAGAGAAAACGAGAACATGTTCTTTTCTAATGAGAACTTTCCTGATATAGATATTAAACCTGAATAAAATCAGCATTAACTGTCTGGAAAAAAAAATCTACAATATATAAATGTGGGCAGAGCACTTCTCACATCAGTTCTGAAAATACCAGGGCAGGATTAACACAAGATCAACCCAGGGGAAGACTGGTAGCTGCCCCACTACAAAGATGAACCACACCTCATATTCAACTCAGGATTTTGAGGTGCTGCCTGGCGTGCAGCAGCTGCAGTTATGAGCAGACTGTTCAAAAGGCGCAGGCAAGCGTTTAGGGAATCTATTTTGGTCAGCATAAATATAGCCATCCTTTGCTTCAGCAGTCAACGTGAGAGACTGGGAGGAGGAGACACACCCATCCTCCTTCCACATTCACCTAGAACTTTGAATCCCAAAGAGCCTGGACACTTGTGAAAACATATGGAACACAAAACAGAGCCTGTGTTCTTTACTGCTGCTACCTTCCATGCAGTGAGAGCTAAACTGCAACATAAAGCACACAGGGACATCAAAATCCTGGTCACTGGGAATTGGAGCTGGACTCACCAGTGGGAGGGGAATAGTCAGAGCAGGGGTGGAAAGGAGGAGCAGTTTGGCAGACGATGTTAAGTACTGAGGCAAAATGGCAAGAAGTTCTGGGACATAATTACCTGTGTAAGGATCGGGGACAAGTCAAAGACAAACATATGGAAAGATACAGGTTGTGTGGAGGCGGACCTGCCCACATGGCAGTTGAGGGGACAAGCAACAAACGACAAAAGGAGAAATCAAAACTCTCCCTTTCCTCTCATCTCTCACGCCTTTCCTCATTAAGGACATTTAAAGATATCCTAGTATTTTTCTGAAACTTCCTTTCCCATCAAAGCACATCCTGCAATTTCAGTGGTGATGGTAAGTCTTGATGAATAAGAGTGAGGAGGGTTAGGAAATACCACAGCAGTCTTAGGCAATTACAGCTGGGAGGGGAAGTGCCCCTGGAGCAACCTTGATGAGGGTGCAGTCTGAAGATTTCGTGATCCCTGCCCTAGGTACAGCACGTACATCACCAGCACACACAACAAGTGCAAACAGCATTACAGAAAGAGGAAGAACATTGAGAACCTTGCTACAAAGGTGGCTTTTCCTGTAAGGGAAACGGTGGGGCTGAGGGTCCGGGAATACCTACTTACCAGTTAAGTGGCTGGCAATCCTGGCAATAGGTTTAGGAGGCAGGGCAGGGGGCTGTTTGAGGAGGGACAACTGTTTCACGGGGGTGTCCTCATGGTCTCCAGGGAAAGCGGCAGATTTTTTGGGGGGAAGTAGCAGGACTGGCTTAGCTGTAGGATCTTGGGACAGGAGGACTCCGGATTCATTGGATGTGGGGCTCTCTTCAGACACTGGAGGACACAACCACATCATAGACGCAACAACGTTACGAGCAAAGCAGCAGCAGATACAGCCGAAGTCAGACAAGAAAAGCAGCACAGCAATGCAGATTAGGAATGACTCGTAGATTTCACTCAAACATTGTATAACATAGAAAGGAGGAAAGAAGGAAAGAAAGAAAGTAAAAGAGAAAGAGTAACACACATCTACACAACAGTCAAATTTCCCATTACTTCTGACAGAAGCCAGCTCCCCCATGTCAGGCTGGGATGTACTCCCACATCTGGAACACAAATCAGGCTTTATAATGTCACGTCTGGGATGGTCTGCCACCACAGCTTGCCTAGGACCAGATATGTTAACAGGTGGTCTGTAAACTTACCCTGAAAAAAGTAAAAAGCACCTCACAGGGCCTACTCTCTTTTGAAAAGGCTGCATAGCTGCGCAAGATCATGGATGACAACTTCTACTGTTCACTTTTCCTCACCTGACCTTTGTCCACAACTCTCAGCAGCACAACCTGATGCAGAAAGAGGAGCTAACCTAGATGTAGAGCATTGCTGTCTCTCTGCAATGAAGAAGAGCAGTCAGCCTCACCCAGGGTAGGGCAGCTGACTGTGTTAGCTACTGACAGATGTGTGGTGTGAACACCACACAACACCATGTGGAAGGTAGAGGGCACGATGTTGTACCCCAGAGTTCAAAAGTGTTGTAAACTCTCTGCTCTAGAGCTCATCGGTACATCTGGGATGTAGACAGAGAGCTGGAAACGTACTTTTACATGTTCAGAAAGTGCAGGGGTTTTGCCTCACTCTGAGGGAGATTACTTGCTTAGAAGTAGAGGTTACTTCTACATCATGTCAGTCAAAATTTCTCGTGGAGCATTCAGTGACAATCTCTACACTGTCACTTCCTTCTACACCAGAAGACCTTCATTTTGACAAGGATTTCTCAGGGCTAAACACCAAATGTTAGAAGTCAAAAACTTGTTTCAAACAGTTTAGAGTATCTACACCATAACATAAAGAAGACGTTACCTGTCCCATCCATGATCTCTGTGGTTGGGAGCACCTCATACGAGCAGGGTTCCACAGATGCTGGGACTGACTCCAGTTCTGCTAGGGCTGGCAGGGACACCTGGCTGGAGCTCAGCCCAGAGCCCAGAGGCTGTCCATTCTCCAAAGCTCCTTCTTCATTTGGTATGGAAAGTTCCCCGTCTGTTCATAGTCGGAGGAAAGAAGAATGGCAAAAAAAGAGACATAAATAAAATGCAGATACAATTTTAAATTAAATCTATTTCCATTGGATTGTTTTCAAATGAGGAACCTGGACAGAGATCTTCGATATACACATACACTGGGTTTATGTGGAAAGGCATGGATAGCATGGGGTCTACATGGGTGACTTCTGTGAGTAGCTGCCAGAAGTTTCCCCCATGTCTGATGGAACCAATTCCAAGCTGGACCCACTGCTGGCCAAGGCTGAGCCTATCAGTGATGGTGGTAGCACCTCTGGGATAACAAATAATTTAAATCAAATACCTGTATTGATCTTTTGCTCTACCCCAGAATGGTCATTATGAACTGTGGTCTAAATTGGTTGATTCCTGACCAACCTTGACCCACACGGACATGCAGTACCATCCAATGCCAAAAAAAATATCTGTTTTCCCTCTCTCTGTTGAATCTGGGAAGTCAGGAATGATAGTAGGCTGTAACTAAAGAATATTAATACATACTGCATATAATATTTTAATATTAATAACAAGAATTATTAGCTTTCCCTACACCAACTTTTATGCTATAAAGGACACAAGCAAAATCACAAGGATATGTCCCTATTTTACATACAAATATCCACATTTTATGTAAGAAAGAGAATAATTTTTATATTTGCCTGATGTAAGGTCTTGATACTGGGATATATCAGATTCCATTTAGAAAGCCTGTTTTTACAGTTACTAATAATATATCCTCTATCTGAGCAAAATTTCTGTAACAGCAGCTGGCATTTTCTTTCCTATCAAATACCACTTCACATTAGAAATAATAAAGACCAGAAGAAAGGATTCAGATTATTCTCTATAGTGTCAACCTGCATGACTTTTATCTCCGAACTTGTTAAGCACAGCACTCTGGTACCTGGAGGCAATGACTACATGGATATCACAATTAGAGTTTTATAAAGCAAAGTGTTCAGCCTCTAGTTACAATTGGCAGCCTGAAAATTTAACTGAAATGTGACCTGTAAAACTAAAAACCAGCAGGCAAATATGCAGAACTTGATTTTAATAACCATTTAAATTACTTCTAAAAATGAAACTCAGGATTTCAGAATATGTTTTTAGATTTTTGGGCACCACTGATTAGCCATATTACTGCTCAATGTAATGAGTGGAGATGTACCTTGGTCAAATGAGTGCATATTTTCCCCTCATAGGGCTAACAAATCACTTTGAAAAACAATACTGAAAAGATAAAAAAGTCTCATTTTGGTGCTAGCATACAGCAATTAACAAGTCTGAAAATACATTAGCTGATAACTATTCAGAATTATGTTTCTGCCATTTAAAGCTTCTTTACAGTGAGTGAAGATGGTCTCCTATTTATTTTGAAATTATTATAAATACCAAGGTCTTGACTTTCTTAGTTTTGTTGGAGGCTTTTTGGAGACCCAGAGAGCTATTATGGTAGTGCAGTCACATCATACTAGACTGAAAACTGACCCATGGCTTTGAGAGATCAGCTGAGCTGGCTAAAAGGTGGCAATATGAATTAAAGCTAAAGGCTCGGGCCAAGTGTTTGTAGCACAGCCTCCTTTCTAATTGCTGTGGCCATTCTCTTCAAAGCTGTTTACTTCCCCAGGCAGCAAAAATCAAAAACCAATTCAGCCAGTATTTAAGCGGAACATTTTTTGACTTAGCTGTGTACTCTGTGCTGGCTCTGTCTCCCTTTTATAAAGAGACACACTTATATACATGTTTGGGATAAGGATTAATGTTCTCTCAGTTACCTGGTTTCATGAGAGTGCAACTGTTTCTTATGTAGAGCACCTGCTTCTTGAATGAAGGGCAGTGACTGTGTCCAGCAATATATTCATTCAGTGCATTAATTCAGACTAAATTTGACTGTAACTATGAGAAAAGTATGCATGACAAACTCAGTAATGTTTGCTTTTTGGAGGGATGACTACACATTCTTCATGAAGTGAGATGCCTATTGCAATATGCTGAGCATCTTGAAATCCTACTGTCTTAAGTGTGCTATGTACTTTTCAAGATATATTAGCATGATTCAAAAAAACAGCATTTGAATGACCCAAGAAGATTTACAATTGCAAAAAAAGTAAAATGTAAGATAAAATTTTGGCTTTTACCTTTTGTCATAATATTAAAGCATGGCATCTTTCTGTACTGACAGCATAACCGTTTTTAATCCTACATCTGAATATCTTTAATCGTGATTTAGAGTCTAAAGCTTGTCCTTGGATTTGAATGAAATCATCAGACATGGCACAGAATCATGACTGAAATATACACCCTAAATCAGGTATTGCTTAAAGAAGAGCTACCTGCAGAGTTGCTCAAGTACAGAAAACAGATCACAGATGAAAAAAAAATAATTTGTAGAGGAAAGAGCATCTCAGTGTGAATTAATCCTGCATCAGAGATATGCTTGACAACCAGATACAAAAGGTAAATTACTTATTATTTTCAAAGTATTAAAGCTATTCCAGTTGGCTGATATACAAATGAAAAGAATCCTGGTAATGCAATTAGTACATATATATGGATGAACTTATCTGTTTTCAGGAACTGGCTATGAGTTTAAAGTTAACTCTGCACAGTGATAACACATGTAATCTTTTGCCCTCAGACTTGCGAAATCCTTTGCTGTTTTCAGTGTCTGGTGCTACTTAGTGGAAAATGAGTTCCCCTTAGTCCATGAGCTTTAATAACACCAGCTGAGTGTGAAACTGGATGGGTCCATGAGGGAGTAGCTTGACCTCTGCAGCAAGAGAACACATGAAGGCCGCTCTCCTGTTTCTCAGGAGACTCTGCACAACTGAAGTCACGGAAGAAACAGGACCTCAGAGGAAACTCTCTTATGCAGAGGACTCTGCCCAGACACTTTGATTCACCTCATCCTGTGAAAACAACAGCGTGGAACGAAGGCCCAGAGATACATAGATGATGTTTTCAAAACCTGTGGCTTCTAAGCATGGTTTGTACTCCTGAACACACCTGCATCTTCTACTCTCAGGTACTTCTAAAACATTGCCTGGTGCGAAGCAGGCCACAGGGCATCACACCGACTGACACAAACCAGACCTATTGTTTGTCCCTCTGTTGTAGCTCTGCCTACCCTCTCACTGTGTCTTCTACTCTGAATACCTTGGACTACGCAACTTTTTGCATACCTGAAAAGTGCCACGCCCATGCATTCCTTCTACAGAAGACTGGCTACGGAAGTCAAAACAGATAAGTTGAAATCTTGGGTTAATTTTTGGATTGGGTTATCTCCTTCAATATTTGTCTGATTTCAACTAGACTGTCCAAGCAAGAAATTCTTGATAATAAAGACTAGGAAGGGCAGAGTAAAATTCATTGTCATTCTCTGCCATGATCCCAAGGGTGGGGAATGGAAAATTGAGTGTTCTTGCATGTGGTCAAGACCTGCCCCTGCCCTTGGTGGCTACCTTAGAACAGTAGCTGGAATCCTGCACAACTTCAGCACCTAAGCAGACCCCTGATTTTGTGGGATCCCATGGAGTTTGAGACAGGCTACTTCTGGAGGAGTTCAAAACTTTTCAATTTCACTGCAGCACAACTGTCTCTCCAGTGGCTGCCATGCCTTCCTGCTGCTTTACCAAAGCCACTTCTTCAAGTTGGTCCTCACACACTGTGAAAAAGTCTGCTTCAGTGCATAAGTGCAACATGTCTGAATCCTGTCAGGACTTAGGTTACCTGAAATTTAAGTTTAAATCCCTAATTTTAATTAGATAGAGCATATTAAAATACAAGAATATAAAAGATGAATACTGCCCTTGATTCCTTGAAAACCCACTGCACCATTGCCTTTGGAGTAAGTAATTGGTTCACACTCATATTCAGAAATTTCTCACTACAGGCAATCTCATCTACATTCAGAAAGAAGAAGAGGTATCAAAATACTACAAGTAGATTTGGTTCTTTGACCAGCAGCATGAAACAGTGGGCAGTTCTAATGACAGATGTTTTTGGGATGGTTACACCCTCATGTGGAAATCAAGGTCTGCACTTATGCGTAGGAGCGATGGCAAAAATATGAGTTCTTCCAAATGTTGAGGTATGTTCTGTGATGCAGGTGGAAGAGGTGTTTTTAACCTCTCAAGACTATCTGCCCACAAATTATAAGAACAGCAGGAGCTTAATCAGATACTTCTTCAACTTATTTTTTTCCAAAAGTACAAAGTATTGGAAAAAATTATAGCTTTTGCCTACATTTTTAGAATACTCAAGTCACAGAGCCCTGCAAAGGGAAGATAACAGAAACTGATTCTGTCACAAGTTTGTCCCTTAGCAAGGAAAGAGCTCTCTGCAGTTCAGTCAGGAGCAGCTTCAGGTGACTAATTTAAGTGTGGGGGTCACTGAAATGATAACAGCATTTCTTGTTTTCCAAATATAGCAGCTGGACTGCAGTGACTCTCCTATGTGTGACTACTGTGACTTACTGCACTCTGATAATTTTCACCTGCTGGGTGACACAAAGTCCTCTGAAAAGCCAGCAAATCCTGAAGCAAACAGGTCAGAGCATCACTTTAAACAGCAGGCAAACAAACCAGCTAATTATGCTTTTCTTCAATGTAGAAGATATGACAAAACCAACATTAAGCACAAGGCAAAAATTATTCTTCTTGGATCATCTGTCTGCACTGTTTCCTTTGATTGGTATGGGTTTTTAAAGAAAGAAAAAGCCAAAATTACTCATCTGCTTTGCCTACCTTTTAGGCAAGGGAGACAAAGAGATTTACACCTACTTCTGTGCAAGACGCCTCTTGGCATGGAAGGAGCTACCACAATCAAATAAAGCATTCTGCTAGGAAATGCTAAAGGTCTGTTGTTTTCTTGAAGGATTAGAGGTTACCTAACAGGAATTACAAAGAAAATGTAACTTCCACTTAAGGTTGTCAATGAAATAAATCCTTCATTAGAATTACTCTCAGATTATTACACCACTGAAGGAAATAATGCTTTTGCTCTACACATCTTGCCTTTTTCATATCCTTGTATCGTCATAGCTGTTTGAGTACTGCTGCTATTCTTGTGTATTATCACCTTCTTCTCGGCCCTGCCCCTTTCTTTTCATATCAGCTTTGTAAAGGTGAAAAATCATTATAAAGAGCAATTAATTTATTTCTTTCAAATACCTACAGACAACTTAAAATCTGATTCACAAGATGACACAGAAGTTTATAAATGACATCATTATTTCATCAAAAGAAAAAAACAACCTGTAGTGCTTTGGTAGCAACAGAAGAGGAATCTCCCCAAGTTTCAACACGGAAGGAGGAGTCAGACTTTACAGAAAGGATTTTTCCTGGGGAGACCTTTAGGTTTATGTAGGGATGGTTCAGAGAGTGGCTACATGTGGGATGTGAGGCAGGGATGAAGGAGGTCACACCTGGGACAGAGGTGTGACTGAATGCTGCCTTCTGAGCTGGCTGAAGCACTCCTCACTTGGTGTGACAGCCTGGACCACACCTCACTGGCTGCGGGTCCGATCTGAGTCACACTAAAAATGTGGACAACACAAAGCAGTGAGAAGGGCAAGCCTATTGACATGAGGTGTTTTTACTCTCAAGTTGCACCTAGGTTGGTCTATAAGCCAGCAGGTTATAGTGAGAGCACACTACAACACATAACTGGTGGAAATTCTAACATTTAATGATAAATTCTAACATTTCTGCTGCTGTTTGTTTTTAACTTAAAAAATTAGCAGCCTGGGTTAGTAAATTTTAAAATTCCTAATAAGCTAGAGTAAAAATTAGGTAGCAGATTTAAATGCTCCTGAATTTATGAAGTAGGTTATAGTTCTAATATCTGTGAAAATTTCTAATTTCTGTTGATTTCTACCAGAGTTTGTACTGCTATTGTAAAAAACCTTTAGACTTCAAATTAAGGAGGCTTTAAAGCATATGCATAAGTTATATTGTGATTAAGAAGTATCATTATTATGTCTTTATATAATTTGTTGAATTAATTGCCTTAGTAATTGACAAGGGAAGCAGCAAAACAAATGCAAGATGCACTCAAATACTGACATATATGTAACAGATGTCAACTACGTATTGTGTTACCGGTGTAAAACAAGGATGTTTGTAATACAATGGCATTTTGCATAAACAAGACATTACAAACTCAACAAATTAATTATCCTGAACAAGGAATTATCTCTTCTGAGCTGTTTCAAGGGAAAGTACATTGTTCTGTGCTCATCAGGATCCAAAACCTTTAAATGTTTCCCTTTTCCACAACAGTTAATCCCAAAGTGACTCAACCAGACAACGGCAATACACAGAGGCACAAACCCACTACATTTCTCCACAGGCTGGATGCTTTGCTCTTTTGCAGTCAGTGACTACTGTATATTGCTGTGATTTTTATTTCTATTGCTTTACTTTTCTGATTAGTTTTCATTTTTATTTGCTAAGTAACTACTGCATATATCCAACAGAGAGGGCCAGACCATGGCAAAGTCAACAGAATTGTTTAGAGATCTTATTTTGCACAGTCTTGCAATTCAGAACTCTCTATTCCCAGTTCCTAATGTTACAATTATGTAATGTCTGGCCATAAAACCATACAGTATATCAATTTACTGTTGTGAAAAGAAAAACACTTACCTTTATCAAAAATTTCTTTCAGCACTCCTCGTTTTATAAGCTCCTCTCTGCTTTGCCTCATTGACATTTTTCTTTCCAGAGCTGTAAGCAAAGGATAGGGATCAATATAAATATAAAAGAAGGGAAAATATTGTTTTAAAAGACTCCATGCATTGTAAAGCCATTTAAAAATGCTTTTTCTCCTCTTCAAGTCAGTGGCAGTTCAGCATCTTGAAATAAAGGCTACTGATAATCCAGAGAATGTCTGCTACTGTAGTGTGGCTGTTATGGACAGAAATGGTGGCAGGCTGACTGATTTGAGGGCATGTCTGCACAGCCATTGCTTGATTTTGACACATAAACCAAACATTTCTGATTTCCATGGAGAATTAGAGACAGCAAAGGGAGAAAAAAGAAATTACTGGAAGTAATAAGTAGAGAAGTAAAGAAGCTGGAGAGGGAAAGTTAAGAAAGAAGGCAACACAAAGGCTCAAACCAAGGAAAGATGTGGCAACAGAACATGCCCACGGACTGTGTCCAGACTGTGGAAAAGAATGAAAGCCAAGGCTTTTTTGCCACTTGTTCCATTGAGGGCAGGTTATGGTGTTTCAGACAGTGCAAAAAATGAGCTGTTTAATAGAGCCTTCTCTTCCCTGGAGGAGTGGTTTCCCCTAAAGAGATGCAAAGGAGGGAAACTCCAAGAGAGCCACCGCAATTTACACCAGATCTGAACAGCTCAAGTTCTGTATTGGCTGCTTGGAGACCATGGTCACTGAGGCAGCAAAATGACAGATAGAAAATACATGTTTCTTTAGTGCAGTAGTAATTAAAACAATGTCCAATTAACTGAAACACCACAAAGGACACACACAGGCAAAGAGCTGAAAGCCAGCAAGCCGGGGGCTCAAGAAGTGATGTGAAGGAGTGGCTGTGACTGAACCCATGCTCCATAAGAAACAAGCCTGTGCCTGCCAAAAAAGAGGCACAGTCAAGGGCAAATGGCTTCTGCCATATGCTCCTCCATCAGACCCAGCCCTGATGCACGTACACACAAACGAACTGGGACTTAGCATCCTCAGCCTGCCCCAGGCAGATTTAAAGCAAAAGAGGCTTGGAAACACCCTCTTCTCCCCTGAAAACAGGAAGTTGCAACCTTTCTTGGTACTGCTCTGTGTTGACTCTTCCCGCAGGGACTCATATATCTGGTGAATTAGCTATGCTCATACTGGCACACTGTCCTTATTGCAACTTATTTGCTGCCAGATACTTACAGCTAATATGAACAAGGCCAGCTCGGCTTCACTTTTCTTCACAGGATAAATACAGGCTTCCCTGTTTTTAAAATCAGTTTTGAGCATGTATTCTTTGGGGCAAAGATGACCAACATGTACAGACAGAAGCTAATTAAAAACCCTGGTCTCTCCAGGGAGAGACACTCTCTGAACTTCAGTGTGGATGAGAATTAAAGGCAGGTCCCTTTGCTGAAGCACAAGACCCCATACCCATTAACCAGCTACATGGTGCAGTTTGATTTTGGAGGTTGTTAACCTAACACAGCAATTTCTAGAGTGCTTTACACCCATTTGAAGAAGTGCTTTAGGCACCTCAACTGACTTGCAATGAAACACTGATTTCTAAGTTTCTAATATGCTTTTGAAAAGATAGCCCCAACTATAAAACTGTGGAGTCACACTGCAGACTGCTCCTCGAGCTGCCTTTTCCTTATGCTGAAACGGTCTTGTTCTGGCACAGCATTTAAAGCTTTTTCCTGTTCCTCCTTAAGAATAGCTGCTCTCAGACCTTCCAAGAAAAGACAGAACAAGCTGCAACTAATTCCTGAGCCTTCTTCCACTAAAGAAATTGTTAAAACTCTGACTGAGTTTAATGAGCAATTTGGTGGCACCCAGAACCTTTTTCAATAGGTCTCAAAAAGTGTAATTTTCTGTTAGAATAAGCAGCAAACTGAACTTATTCTTCAGTGGGAAACCAAGCTGGGTGAATCGGCAGCAAAGCAGCAGTTTCTGCATATAGACAGCAGCACTGCACACAGAACAAAGACACAGGCAAATTCTATTTCTGCACTCTATCTGTACACAGATAGCTAAATAACAGATCCACATTTTGCACACAAATTCACTGGCATCCACCTGGGTGCTCTGTCTCACCCTCCTGCCCAGTCAAGAGCTGGTTATGCAAGGTAGCAGCATTAATACCGACTTCATGGCTAGGAGGTCCCACCTCATTATCATAGTACTGGTAAGAAACACAGTCATTTTGCAGACTAGAATTAAGGCTTTTGGGGAATCAGGCACTAAAAAGGGCTTTCAGGACATTTAGAAGAAGTGCAGGAGTGTCTCTTCCAAACCAATTGCTGAGGAACACCCACCGGTAGTGACCAAGACTTCTCAAAGTAGTGGACTTTTTGCAGTTGTAGAATTTCAAAGATAGAATATATATATTTGGAAGACTATATAAATTTCTCAGATATTCCCTGCTGTGCTGCTGTCCCGAGTTTCTCTACTCCCTCGGGCAGGGAGGTGGTGAACCTTTTTTAACTCCAGGTGCACCAGCCAAGCAGGGGCCACAAGCCAGGAATACAGCAGCTTATAAAGGGGGTGTAAACACGACACATTGACCAATGAGGAAGGACTGGGGAGTGAACAAACTCGTGAGAAACATGCCGGCTAGCCAGTAGGGAATGTGACAGGGAGGGATCCTTGTTCCCGATCCAATCACCCACCGAAGAAAGGAGAACTTTCTGGAATATGGGAAGGAGACAGTGGGTGATGGACAGAACTTGGGGAGGGATTGACAGAGGGTAACCAGGGAAACAGGGGAGGAGAGAACGAATTGACACTCTCAGAGAGAGAGGTTCCAGGGGAGGGGGAGAGGGGGATCCCAGGACCGAACCATTATAGCTTTAGGGGGTAACAGAACACACCAAATGAATCCTGCAACACAACAATTCCCTATTGTAATCTGCCTGTGTTCAAGAATGAAAAAACCCACAACCCTCGAGCTCAAGCTCAGACAAAACCAATTTTTTTCAGTTTCTAAATCCTTTCTAAGTAGGTACAGGACTTATAGTATTAATTATTTTCCTACTAAGCCAGTTTAATTAATAAGATATTTAGAGGAAGGGCATGCTGGGCTAAGAGCAGCACTGAATGATAACAGCTGTTATACTAAAACTGTGGAACATGCTGCCTTTCTTCAATACAAATCTTCCTCCCAAACAAGTGTTGTACATTTAAGTGCATAACCTCTTACACTACTGCTGATCAGATGGGAAAAAATATAAGCATTTAGACATAGAACTCATTAGGGTCTAACACCCTGAACAATGAAATGCTTTACTTGGTCTGGATTTCTCTCGCTAAGATTGCCAGTTCTTTTATGAAGGATTTTGTTTTCAAGCAGAAAGCTGGTACAAAATAAATTCATTCACTCTCCACTGAGAAGGAATCCATACACAGCAGTGGATAAATGTAAACCTTTGAAATAATCCTTGATTCATGACAACTGTGCAAATTCTGTGAGGGGAAAAAATGAATTATAATTAATATTTAAGAAAAGATGTACTACTTCATTAGTGATTTTCCTTGGTGATTAACCTCATTTTTTTTCATTTGTACAACCTTCCAGGAGATTAGAAATAAGCATTAAGCCCTCTTTATGGGATCTACTTATGCCAGAAACTAGTTACTGTAACAAATTCATCCACTCTACAAGAAACTCTCAGTTACTAGTTTATAGAAATGAGCCTATGTGTATTTTGTGGTAAAAGCGTACAGATTTTGCCAGTGTGCTCTGCAGTAAGCTGTTTCTTTGATGCTTTGATGAAGAAACAGTGGGAAATGTTTTTATTAATGTTTCTGAGCTGGTATTTTTGAACTCGTCCCTCAGGAGCAGCCCCCCTCTGCTGTTCAAGCAGAGTTTTTCTCTGTGGCAGACCCATTAAGATCAGTAAAGCCTTGACAGGGTCAGGAGAAGTTCCTGCCCCTCCACTCTGGAAATCAAACACAGTTTTGTCTTTATCCCTTTAACAGGCTGCTGTGCTCGTGATGGCAGTGCTTGTGGGCTGCTGCTCCAGCTGGGAAGGCGAAGCCCCGCGCTGCCTCTGAGCGCTTCTGCTGCTCCATTACCCAGCCAAAGCGGCATTTATGCAGCCACGACACGCAGCCTTTCCGTCCTCCCATCCTTCCCTCCAAGACTAAAACATCTCAGATGAACTATTCCAACCTGCATCTGTATCAGGCAATAATACATTAATAATAAATATTATTATACAAGATAATGATAAAGTGTCCTCCTTTGCAGCAATTGTCATGTTGCTGCTTAACCAAAGGGTGGACTAAATAAACAAGTCCTGCCCTTTTCATCTGACGACTGAAACTAAATCCCAATCTGTGCTGGCCAGTTGGATCTTAACCTTGCTTTTTTTCTGAGGTTGTCCTTGGCTTTTGTTTTAAAAAGCACTGGGGGATGTTTTGCATGAATTCTTCCTTTCAAAGGCCACTATAATTTTAATGATGATATTAGAAAGCAAAGGTTGTTATAGGATGAAGCTGAGAGCAGAAGCTTTCTGGTGCATCAATTATAGGAATCTGCTTTGCTAATAATTCAGATCTGAATAATTAGAAACAAGCAAACCAATTACTTTGCACAATGTTTAGATAAACAACCAACAATGTTTTCTTTATATTTATAAGGAAGGAAGGATTTTCAAATGTGATGGATTATGTATTAAAATATTACATCATCTTGGAATTTTCCCAACTATGTAGAGTTTCTTGGCAATCAAATGGAGCAGGATTCAGCTGATACAAATTTTTATGGTGTGCACTTCTGCCTCTGAGCTGGTCTCATATATTAAGAGCAAGTCTTGGGCATGATTAACCTCAGACGAATGTAAGAATCTAAACAAGATAGAGCTGGACCTTGGAAGTGCCTGTTAGCCTTCACTGACTGTAAAGGAAGCTAAGGGTGAGTAGCTGAGATAAAGATGTATAAAAATAGGGCTGAATATACTCCTGAAATCAAAATAGACTGAAGAGAGTAGTTTTAAGAAAAGAAGCACTGTTATAGATACAAGTCTTAGC